GCGCGATCGATCCCCCGAGCGCCTGGCCGTGTCCGGGGTATGAAACCTCCGCCATCGCCGCGTTGCCGGAGTTTACTCCGTTTTTGGAGATCTGATCGATTCGTCGGAGGGAATCGGGCGGGTTTTTTACGAAATTCGGAGCGGTGTTCGTTGCTCCGATGAGAGATTCGTCTTCCGGTTTGTTAAACATCTGGAGGATGATCGATTTCAGAAACACAATTAATTGCGAGCCCTAAATTGTCGTATGAACAAATTAATGTATGTGTATGTATGTACCTCAGATCCGTCTGGTTTGTTATCGGACTTTGACAACATTAATGGCTGCAGCAAATGGTGATCTCCGATCAGATTCCGACGAACATTATTATTATTCATCGTGATTTCAATAAAAATCATTGCTCTCAACAAACAAAAGAAAAAAAGAAGAATGAAAAGAGAAGAGTTTCTATTTCTAAGTCGTTGGAGCCACGAACAAATATTGGTTAATGGCCAACACGTTTTTTAAAATTAGAACACCAACTGAAAAAAAGATTTTATTTAACCAAATCGACACGAAATACGCCTTTGATAGTCTGATATTAGTTTCGTTCTAGAAAATCTGGTATTGTTAGTGTTTAATGTAGGACCCACGTTATAAAGAGTTTGAACACAGAACTCTGACTCAACATTGTAGGAATTAGAACACAGATTGAAAAGTCTAATTTCATCATCGACATAACATTCTCGCTAAAAAGACTTAAAAGTTCAAGCGGGTTGAGTGTATTTAACCTTTTATATACATATTGTTAACAAAATCATGAGAGAATGGACAAACGAAATTAAGCGAAAGACAAACCAGGGGTTCTTGATCGAAATATGGAATGGACGAAGAAGAGTCTTGTTTTTATGCAAACTCCATGGGCATGTGTTTGGGTGAGAGGAAGAGAAAGAAAGAAAAGGGAAGAAGGGTAAATGTTTGATGAGATCAATTTGGGAGAAGAGAGGAAGAACAAGAGAAAATATCAAAAGGGGAAGGGAAGAGAGGAGAAAAGACAAAGAATTAAGTTGTTTGTTTTTCTTTTTCCTTTTTAGTAACAATGAATTGTGTGGTTGACAAGAATAGCAAATATGTTGGTGGATGGTGTAGCATGCCCTTTGCCAACTCTAGCCTTGCTTTTGTTTGCGRAATGTAGACTTATGCATGTAACCTACAACCGCTCGATTTGTCAAATTTTAAGAAAAACTACGTCTGGATCTAGAAAACGTAAGAAATGATTGGGAAAACGATATATATAGCTAAGTATCTTTAATTATCGATCAAAATGAAAACAATGTTTGATAGCTTATTTTGAAAATACTACAAAATCAATTATTTTGATTTAGTTAATTGTTATATCCTTTCAAATTATTTCAGATTTAAAAACTACGACTCTGGGTCAAGGAGAATATAATATATATAAGAAAAACATCAAAAACATTTTAAAATTTGAAAAATATTTGTCACATAAAATAAAAAGCATGAAGGTTCAAATATTGAAAATATAAGAAATGAAAAGATCCATATACATACAATTGAAAAATCTAGTAGATCAAACTTGAAAAATGTTTAATAGTTTTTAAAATTCCAAAATGGCTAATTTAAAAATATCTTTTTTTTAGTACATTTAAAAATACTACAATCAATTCATGATTTCAAAAAGACTCATTAACTAACAACTATCTATTCAGACATTTAATAATATTTAAAACATTTCAAATTGAAAAACGACAAGTAGAATGAAGGTAAGATTTTAATATACGTATATGTTTTCAAATATTTTGAAGTTTTAAAAATATAGGATTGATGGCATAAAATAGAACAATTAAAAAATACAAAAAATAAAAAACAAAAACAAAAACAAAAGTTTTATCGAAGGAAAACAAATGTTCAACCAAGAAACTAAATAAGAAATGATTTAAAATAGAATACGAGTCATACATACATACGAAACTCGATTATTCGGAACGTTCTGTGATTGTTGTTGAGTCTTCACTTTTATTACATCGATATTGATTTCCTCACGAAATCGCAATTCCAGATGCTTTTAATTCATGGTGGTGGGATCAAAATGGAAAAATGTCTAAATAATTTCAAAAGTTAAAAAAATGGATAATTTAGAAATATTACATCATCAGTTATTTATATCTCCAACCCTCACATTTGTTCTACTAAAAAAAATTACTATTATCTTTTCAAATATATGTCCGCATTTGGTGAGGTTTTTGTTTTTGGTGTCTAAGAGCTCATTTGAAAAATGTTTCTTACTTGTTAATAAAATTTAAGYATTTGTTAACTATTTATGTTTCTAATTGTTTCTCATTTTCTAGAACCATTATGATAATGGTATAGAAATTGAAAACAATCATAAAAATTSAAAACAACAAAAGCTCTTTCTTAAATCAATTTTCAATTTGTTCTAAAAAATAAATAAAAATATTGTTTTATCTATTAATATGGATTAGAGCTTAGCACGTAGGCGAAGAAGAATTCAGATCTAGTTTGATAGCACTCTTTCACATAAAACTGAAATTGCTCTTAAATATTTCCACCAATGTTCCAACTTAATTTCTATCAAACTCAGCACCACAAACTATTTGTTGCGGAAATCATAAGTCCTTCCACTTGTAACAAGTCTTGGAGTTGATAATCACTTGATCTATGACAGTCCGCCTCATGCAGAAATAACCAACAATGATGGGAAAACATAAATCAATTCTTGCAATTGTTTGGGGTGAAAATCGCACGGCCATATAGAGGACAGATAAAGGTCCAAYTTAGGTGTTTCTTGGTGGCCAACCTGAAGATCTTCCCTAAGACCGACCTCATCAAGGTCTTCCCCGAAGGCTAACCTAAAGGTCTTTCCTGGTGGCCAACTTGAAGCTCTTCCTTGGTGGCCGACATGTAGGTCTTTCCTAAAGATTATTCAAGGAAGGAACACCCTTCCATACTTAGCCAAATTCCATATGACAAGCGTATGAACTGGAATAGCTACTCCCGACGGGCCGACCTTGGTCCCGACATGCTCAACCGTTGGTTGAATTCCTTGTCGGGTACTCGAACCTATAAATAAGGCACTTCACTCTACAGTCAAGGATCGTATTCTAGCTCCATCTCCATACTAATGTCAGACTAAAACTGACTTCCAACTCGCCTTTCARCTYCTTYTAGACACTTCAGCTCATTCTAGTCAGCCTACCTTTACCTCTCGAGCTGGTCATACCTCGATTGATTTTTTTTGCATAAACAACAATGATTAAAGGTTTGGAATCAGCCCACCAGGTATGGAAATCTTTAGACGAAACACTCGTTGCAATTACAAAAGAAAATGAAATTCATATCGTGAGTCATTGCATTTGCCTTAAAAAGAGAAATATGTCTCTTGAAGATTATATCAAGAAATTAAAGGCCTTATGTGATAAGTTAGTTGTAATAAAGAAACCGCTAGATGATTTAAACAAGGTATTTCTTCAGCACAAGGATTGGGCAACCAGTATAAGGAATTTAGGACATGAAGCTTAATTGGAATGAAGTCCAATCTCAACTCCTCACTTTTAGAATGTGTCAAGCTCAATTTCAAGCCCTAAAGAATGTGGTTTTAATCAACCAACCTTCTGCCAATCTTGCTGCAGTTAACTCTCAAAACAATCAATCTCGACCACAGACAAAAAAATCATACCAACAACTTCCACAAGAACAATCAAATTGGGGGCAAAGGCGTTTATTTGAAAACTCAAAGCCCATCTATCAATTTTGTTGTAAGGCTAGGCACACTGCAGCTAATGTTACTACCATTTTGAGAAAAATTTCAACCACAATCACAACTTCAGCAAATGAGGAGCCAATCCTTACCCAAAACACTCATCTGGAAATCCAACAACCGTGATWGCTACCCCAAGAAACTGTTCATGACACTGCTYGGTATTTGGATAGGGGTGCAAGCAACCATGTCACTACTGACCTTGGCAACTTATCCATCAAGAGTGACTACATAGGTATGGCACGTAATACTGTTGGAAGTGACTGTCAACTTCCTATATGCTTTGTTTGTAATTCCATCATACCTTACAATATTAGACATTTAATCCTGAAGGATCTATTACACRTGCCTCAGATTAGCAAGAATTTGATTAGTATTTCCCGCTTAACCGTGGATAATTCTGCAGTAATTGAATTTTATGATTACTTTTGTGCTGTTAAGGACAAGGTCACGGGGAAGGTTCTTCTGGAAGGAACGCTTAAGGATGACTTGTACCAAATTCCTCATTTTTCAGCCTCTTTTCATGCTTTTGGTCAAGAATCTTCRAGGAATCAGTTTACTTTTATTGCTTTTGTATCTAATATGACAAGGAAATGTCASGATGATGCTTTGTTAGTTACCTCTCCTGGCAGTCATCACATYTTGTATGGTTCTAAGGATCTTTGGCATAGTAGGCTTGGACATTCCTCTGTTAGAACCTTGAGTCGAATCTKGACTTCTTGTAATTTTGAAAAGCATAATAAATGAGAAACTCTTTCTTTTGTGAAGCTTGTCAGTATGGAAAGTCGCATAAATTACCATTCTATATCTTTCAATCTTGAGCCTTAAAACCTTTGCAATTGATACACACGGATCTATTGGGTACCTACCCCTATTGCATTTTCGAATGGATACTTATATTAACATCAACTTCCTTAATGATTTCTCTTGTTTCACTTGGATTTTTCCACTCAAAAGCAAAGAAGATGTCATAGTCATATTTGAACAGTTTAAATCTCAGGTTGAGAACTTGTTTGACACAACCATCAAGACCATTCGATGTGATGAAGGAGGAGAGTTCAAACCATTATCCCATTATGCCTCAGAAAATGGAATACAYGTTGGGTTTTGTGCCCTTAACTCGTATATTTGTAATTTATGAACGAATTATTTATTCAATAAAGATTTATTTTATTATTTCTTTGTATTACTCATATTCCAATARACTAAGATCCAAGATTATTTAATGTAACTAGAATAGTATATWACTGATATACCATATATATTTAATATAAAGTTTATATATTTGATATACAATATATATTAAATATAAAGTATATAATCGATACACAAGTGGATAATTTTCTAGTAATAACCTAAATAGTTCTATAGTACATGGATAAGGTTAGGTAGTAACACTATGGATACTATCCGCTTTGTAATAGTTACAATCGACTAGTCCACGTCATTCACATGGAGGCATGTGAGTGGGGGTATCTTATACAATGGGTTTGTATAAGACTAGATCGAGAAATAATTAATTATTAGTTATAACACCGTAAACTAACTAGATTAATATTTAATAGAATGACCATGTAACTCAATCTTAATCCTGAGCGAGTTATGGACTACTGCCTATAAGGGATCGTCCTTTGATTTGTATGGGTGAGACTGGTCTGGGTTGTCAGCTCAATAATCCTACCATTTTGAGCACGAGACCGAGTGGGGAGCTGAGAACATAACTACACAAGATATCCCGACTTTAGGGTAAGTAGATGAGTGTTCCCTTAATTACTGACTCTGTGACTTGAACAAGGGGCTCCACCCTTTTACTGACCTGAGAAGGACTTATGTTTAATGGTCGGACTATAAATATGCTGTTCATTAGAGGAGCAGTGGTACTTAAGGTGAAAGAGATAACTCGGGGGTAAAACGGTAATTTGATCCAACAAAAGTTATGAAGACTCGTGAAGGATTGACTTGTCGTCAACGGTCAATTTCTGTGGACACAAAATATTCTGCAGTGAGACGAATTCAGCTGCGGGTTTTTAGTGGAGTGATCTGCCGTTAACGAATGTTGATTAATTTTGGTTAATGAGTGTAATCAGTTAATCTTGCATCGTTGGAGCTTCTGATCTGTAGGTCCATTAGGTCCTCCTACTGGCTCGTAAAGGATAGTTAATAACATTTAGTTTTG